ACTACTATATCAATATGGTAACATAATTAATGTATTTGTTTTTTATTAGTAACCACAAAATTGGAAAGCCATTTTATGGAATATAAATTTATTTAATAAAATCAATGCAATTGCATAAATTTTTAATCATTTTATGCGTGGCAGCATATCAAAATGATATTTATTTAAACTGAAGCAGAACACATACAAAAATTCGTACGAAGATATTTATCTATACTACTATCAAAAGAGCAAGCATGTGTTTGTCAAAAGCCACACAACAAAATGTACACGGAATAAGCAGAACCATCCGATCAAATTGACTTAAACACATCCTACCGCCTATATTACATCAATAGTCCGTCATCCAGAATCAATGTCTCAGATTAATTGTTCTGCCCAGCAGACGCGTCTGCCGATCGTGCGAGCGCTCTGCTTCCGCCGATCCCCGCGGGCCAGCGGTAACTCCTTGATTTTCGGGTTTTTTGAGGAATCCCTGATTTTCGGTTTGGTCCACGCGAAAGTGCCTCCCGATTGAGTCCCGGCCCTGGCTTTTGGCCCCAAGAAGAACGGCGAGAGAACAGATCCGCAGAAACAACGTTGCGCTGCCGCTCCTGCCGTGCGCTCCCCACGCCGATCCGCCCCGAGCCGACCCTGCCTCCGATCGCCGCCGCCGAGCTCCTCTGCCGGTCAGCCATGCCCAGAGCCCTCCTCCCTTCTCTCTCCCTCTCCTCACTAATCTTTCTCCCTCTCTCCATTCCCTCACTGCAGGACACCATGGCTCCGTCGGACCTTCCCTCGCGAGTGACGGCCCTCTTCCCGACCAGATCGGCGACGGCGACGACCGGTGATGAACACATGCCTGCCCCATTCTTAATTCTCCCGGGCAGTCTGGGATGCAGATGCCGCCGCCATTCTTCCGCACAGCTGAGTACGCGGAAGTCGCTGTTGCCTGCAACTCAGCCGCCTCCATCGTGTTCCCCTGCGAAGTTGAGGAGGGTTCGTTGTCCGGGCATCGCATCCTCCTGCTTGTCCTCTACCACAGGGTCGTTGCCATCTTCCGTCACCACGACCACCTCTGCCATGTCCTCTACGGCTCTACCACGGGTCAGCAAGAGCATACCACCGCATGTCCTCTTCACATGATAAGTACAGACTTGGCTAAGCGATTTTATGTCAAACTGACATAAATATGATTAAGTCCTTGTTGTGTTTTTACTGGTAGGGAGAGCATGAGAAAGGTGTTGTGGATACATATATGAATGCCCGCCAGAAGAAGAGAAAGGTGTTTGGCTGCAAATCAGTTTTATGTCAAACTGCACATAAATATGATCAAGTACTTGTTGTCTTTTTGCTGGTAGGGAGAGCAGGAGAAAGGTGTTGTGGATACATATATGAATGCCTGCCAGAAGAAGAGAAAGGTGTTTGGCTGCAAGTTATTGTGTTCGTAGGCTGTCCATATCACCGGGACTAAGGGAAAATGTTCAACTGCCGCGTTCCTGTCTAATATCATGAGGGAGCAAGCATAAACTGTCGGCTGCTATTCCAGGTATTCCACCATATCACCAACCTCTGTGTATCATTTAATCCATTGGGTAGTAACTATTGGACGACATGATCATGGGAATTGTATGTTGCTGATATTTATGCAGTCCACACCTTTTAACAATCCGAGAGCGCATCACCGGTTTCAGCTGCATCTTTGAGGGATCTTTTTGATCTGGCCAAGGAAGATATTGATGAATCAATCGAATCAGAAAATAGATCCCTGTCACACTTTGAGGTATATTTTTCAAAGTTATTTTTAAGTTGCAGGGTTGGTTTTTGCTTTAGTAAAATGATGATGATGTGTACTCAGATATTTTTTTGTATGTCCCCGAATGGGATCCTATACAATACAAATAAACGAAAAGCATAACAAGAGAAATAGCAAAGGTACTATCGATTTTCCTTCAATAGTTTGCATCTCACAGCATTGAACATTACAGGTTAGAAAAAGAGTGATCCTCCGTTATCTCATATTAATTCATTCAATTGTAACGACAAAATAAACGGTAAATTAGGGATTCACTGATGGTTTGCTCATGTACTCCATGTGACTATATATCTACCTTGTATTGTATCTCTTTAGAAGCAGCGGAAACTGGGAAGAAAATTGTATGACACAAGAAGAGATACTTTTAGAAGCAGCAGAAACAGGTTCCCCTTGTATATCTCTTTCTACCTTTACCCAAACATATATTAAAAAAACAAGTTTTGAACGAATATTTATTAATTATCTTTGTATATTTATATTTCTAGCGATTATGAGCACAACAAATCTTTTCTTTCGAGAGCACTCAAAGCACGTGCCTTACTTTTATAGAAGAGAGCAAAACAATTTACAAGAGGTCTAGCGAGTGCGGAACACTCCAAGACTAACACCCACCACCACTCCTACAAGGAACCCAAAACTAATCTCTCACAAAGCGTTGTAAGCTACCTCCTCCCCGGGCCGCCATCTTCCAATCTCTAAGTTCATCAAGTATCTTCTTCGCGAGTTCCTGTGCAACCACCTGTTGCTCAGCTCTGTTAAACACCCTAGCATTCCTTTGCTTCCAGAGACATCATGCCGTGCAAATGACCAGGGTGTCGAACCCACGTTTGTCTTCCTTCGCAAAGCACAACAAATCTTGAAGCATGTGCTGTCAAGAGAGGAGGAAGTGAAGAAAAAGATTATTGTTTAGAAAACCATTTATGACGATCCTACGGCTTGGTTTTACTCGAGAGATGGTAACTGCTCTATACCTAATTTGTGGAGTAATCAACTACATTTTTTTGTACTCCCCATTTCATTATATGAATCTGTGTCCTACATATGCATATTATGAATTATCGGACTTCTAAATTAACAGAATTTCATCTTGAATTCATCAATGGGGCATCATTTTGGACTACACTTAACTAAGACCAAATATAAATGCCCTAGAGGCCTTAACACTAGGGTGACATAATCTTTTCAGCATCTAACAGTTATTACAAAAAAAAACTGAGAAAACTCCAGTTATGGTGAAGAATGGATGAGTCTCTCATGGAGATATTTGTATTTTGAGTTCTATCACCACTCGATATTTTTCTTGTTTCAGTATTGTCTGCAGCTTTGTTTCATGAAGATTGAATTCTGTAATTTTTTTATGTCACATTTGAATGTGTTGGCAAGTAAGCGGCTCTACATCGATCTTGCCAATTCCATTTCTAATAGGCATGAGCCCCTTGTGTTCTGGACAACTAAGGTTACATGCATAATTACCTAATCATGTACCAATTCTGAGTCAGACGCGTGCATTTGGATTGGATATTGAACCAAGCCCGCCATTTTATTACTCTGAAAGAACTATACAATGATATTTGGCTATTGCTTTCAGTATTAGAGAAGCATGGAAACTGAACTGCGGGGCTTTCTATATTTTTATGTGACATTCCTCTATGCCATCGTGCCATACTATTTATTTTGAGCAACCTCTCTATGCTATTTTCTTGGACAATTTTCACTGTAATCTCTAGCACCTCAATATACGGTAAACAACTGCAAGCTTGGGTATTTTTTTTCTCATCTTGTATTCATATTATTTGCTATGTTACTTTAGCAATCAAATAGAATCAGACACAAGCTCCAGTTAGTCCTGTGTAAAAACTAATGTGCTGGTGTGGACCATGAATTCCTTATTTTGTCTGTTTCAGACTTGGGATCGTAGGGAAAAGTGTGGACTATGGAGTCATACCAGAACTGGATTGACCATGGCACATCTTCTCAAACGAGTCATGGCGTCGTCAACAATATTCAAGATTTCATGTTCCCTTCATTTCCAAGCATCGCTCTTAAAGCAATATATGCAGGTTCATCATTCATGCGAGGGATATGAATGATGAAACAAAAGTAAAAGGTGTTTATGCTAACAGATCATCATAATTGGGGATGAGTGTCATGTTAGTTTTATAAATCCAGTAGCATCCTACTATTCGCAGTTTCTATAGTAAAATGAAATAATACAATTTTCAAATTATATATTCTATGGTGATATGTACTTTTTAAAAGGTTACTAGGTTCCGTGAGATTAGATGACGGTTCTGATGTGTCATTTTGACAATAGGCCCACTACAGACAGTTCTTATAGTCCAATTAGATAATGCAATTTTCAGATGATATGTGATATGGTGATATGCATTTATTTATTTGTTTCATGTGTTCCTTGTCACTGGCATTTGTGCATGAATTAGTTACATGTCTGCAAAGCTGACCAAATAAGAATGCGATGAATTACATGTCTGCAAAACAAAGCAAACATGAATGAGGTGATTTTCCTGACCACATTTTGTGCCGGACCTTAATATGAAAAAAAACTATCTATTCCAAAATCACCACTCCTACATTTTCTATTTTCACTTGTTTACTGACTTCATTCTTCATAAGAAGGCGTGCAAGATCTCTATGAATAAGCCACAACTAGCAGGTAACTATGTTTTTTTTGCCAGAGAACTATGTTTGGTTTTAGGCCGCCCTGCTCCATGTTAGTCCACGTGCTCCATCTTAGTCCACAATTCTTTTGTAGTTTCAGGTTGATAACAAATGTAATTCTTCACCATATTTGTTAGCATTACTATATCATGCTGGAATCCCTTCTCTCCATTCCCCAAAAGTACTTAACTTCCTTTTTGCATAATCCATGTACTACGTAATACAAGCAAAAATATGCTTATACATGAGATTTTTTTCTCACGGTTATACGTGCGTGCACGTGCATGCTTACTAGTTACAAATATAGAAGAGTATATGATACATATGCATTACAATAAAGATATCAGTCATATAATTTTGAGGATAGAAAACACAACTATGGGGAATATTACACTGTCGCATTTGCATCAATTCGATGAAAGAAAAAGATCTTTTGGATGATATTACACTTTTAAATCTATCAATGTAAACTACAACTATTGGTAGCTAAAATCTTCAAATTTTATTTGCTTCTTGATCCAAGAATTCAACTGCAAATCAACCATCCTTCTCTCGAATCTGTAGAAGAAAATTGCACCTTAGATATGTGTGATTAAATGTACACAAATATGATTTCAGAATGTGGAAGGGAAGATTGTAACGTACAAAAGCTGAAGGCCAGTCAATTAAGTATCCTGAAGTGAAAGCCTCGCCAATTGTCTTGCAATCAGAAACTTCCCTTACCAACTCCTCATTATCAAGAATAGGTTCGTCTATGCGCACAAGAGCAAATTCAGCACCTAACTCAATACCACCAGCCTTTGTTCTTGGATCAGTACTCCGAATAGTACCATACGCAACATTCCGCTTGTTGGGATATGTTGAAGTCTTTAAGACTACTTTGGAAGCAACCTATATTATGATCAATATTAGCATTCTATGACATGATAATATAATTTGCATGAATAATATGAGATCTTTTTAATATCAACCCAGTAAGGTGCCCTAAGAAACTAAATAAACTGGACCCGGCAACGAAGTCTAATGCCCAAGGTCACCTCGCTAGCTCATGCTTGGTTAAATTTATCGTTACTTGCATACAGCAGATTGAGCAAAAATTGTAAAAAAAATCCATTTTTCAAGCAGGCATGATAATGAGGGTTTGGGTTGGTAATCTGGGTGCAGTAAACCATGCTACTTGGTGAATCTTTACCTTGATGGAAGAAGAACGCCTTCTTTTTGAGCGGTGTGGGTGTTCAGTTCTAGTCCTTTGCTGGTTTGGTCTTGAAACAGATTCACCCGTAATATTCCTCGTTTCCATCACCTACCAAGATACAATAATATTAGATGGAATGATATTCATACCTTGAAGCTACATAAAGCTACAACTTCAAAACTCAAAAGGCACGAAAATTACCTCTAGCACAGAATCAATAACAAGGTCTTGTGGTGATGATGAATTTTGTAGAATTTGTAATTGGTTGACATCATGGTCGCCAACCTAGTTCCATGACACAACAATGGTAAGAAAGCAATTATTTTATATTCTATCTTTGTGACATGAGTAAGAGTAACTACAGGCATAACCTTTTCATGCGAACGTGATAAATTAGTATCCTTAGGAATGTCATGTTGCATAGACGAGCATGCCTCAACGGGTCCATTGCACTGGATTCTCTGCAAACTGAAATATTAATATGAAGGTTTCAAGTGACAAGCAATGATATAGGCATTTATTAACATTACCTTTGTTTTACCAAGCAGTAGTGGTGAGCGAGAAATACCATTATCATTTGATTGGAGGTTTTCCTACAGAACTAACAAATCTGAGTAAACTATTGATAGAAATGCATGCAAAGGGTGGGATAAAGAAGTCCTTTACCTCTTCTATGCCATTATTGACATGGCCTTCTTTGTTATTCATATCTTTAATAATCTGGTCTTGCTTTTTTATATGCTCCTGCATCTTTGCTATTGCCTCCCAAACGTCATGTTCAACTTCATATGGTGATCCATCAGTTCTAGTCATATTGATGTTCTTTAGATACCGTGGCGTCCGACCGTAGACTTGCTTAGGAGTTGGAAGCAAACCCATGCCATGCACTTGTCCAATCTTTTATTTCCCTAACACTTCCTGCAGGGCATCACCTTCCCATGCGACTCTTCCATTCAAATTTTGTGCCAACTCTGGTCGTTCGGTTATTAGATTCTCCAATCGATCCTATAAGAAAAGAATCATGCATACACTAGTTAGATTGAACCATAACTTGATCCCGAGAACAATTAGACAATTTCTATATTAATTGCCTACCAGGCGCTTATTTCTATCTTTATTTTTAGCATCAGCATCGTCCTTCTTCTTGTGAGTTGCTAAATAAACCTTTGATCTGTGTGGTCGTTTCTTTTCAGGATCAGCTTGCCTCTACAAAACAGAAACAACACCCATATGACAAAAGAGACACAGGAAAACACTTCAGGAATCAAGATTACTCACCATGTCTTCACCCCAACAAGCATAACTCTTTGTGCCATCATTATGTGAATCCTTCACGAGGGAACGACTAATTATGTTCTTCTCAGCAAGGGCCTGTTATGATGTAATCATATCGTAAATGCAACTTTTAAGATAAGCCCGAGAACTCACATTTAAATGTCAAAACAGGAAAGTACAGTATCTCATTCATTACCCTTCCTTTTTTGGACTTCCAATATTTAACAAGCCCACGCCATTGATCGTTATCCACATCTTCTGGACAGAGCTTATACAAAGCCTTTCGCTTGATGTTTGGATTTTTTTCGATGGCGGGTTTGAAGAAAGCATCTTTCAAACTAGACTTAAATTTCCTCCAGTCTCTTCCAATTGATTTGAGTATCCATTTTTCACATGATCGAGGATACACGAACTTTGTCTGAAAGGACAAAATAATGAATGGATGTAAATAGACATGCAGGCCACACTACATCTCATGTACACAAATTAGATATAAATAGAAGGGCAGCAAATAACATATTTTGTTTTCTTGTTAATTGTGAAGTACCTGTACGCACTGCAATATTGTTTCCTCACCACTATTCTTTTTGACATGACGCCAATCATTTATGTTTAGTGGGCAAAATCCTTCATCTCCTATAGGCTGGCTATCTTCATTGCATTTCACAACTATTCTCTGCCCCTTTGGCATGTTCCAGACAATTGGCAAGCTTGTTCTCTTGCGCTTGCGTACTTCCTTGTCTACTACAAGATTAATTAAGAAAAGTACTAATGAAATGACGCCCGCCGATTATTCTTTCGATACTAAGCATATACAAGTTAATTAATAGAAGCACAAAATGTAATAGGTTGTTACCTTGATTGTGAACTTGACCCTCTTCATCGACCAATGCTTGTGATTCATGACCTTGTGGGAATTGCTCACCATTGTTGCAGTCTCCATCTTCATCATCACGTTGGTCCGTAACCTGAATCACATTCAACCTTTTTGACCTACGTGGTGGTCCTGCAGAACAACCATACATCTTTTATTCCAATAATTACAACAGTAGATACAGATATGTAATAAGCATGGTTCAAGAGGGATACTTTGCGGCCCTTGCATAGTAAGTTGCCCTGCCCCTTCAGCAGAGACACCACCGTCCTGTAAGAGAACACTCTCATTTGGATGGTTAGATGGAGCAACATCAATTTGCTTGCTAGGCGGAGCAATATGATCGTCAGCCTTCTCCTTAGACACATACAGATGGACAGCTTTCACAATCTCAGGGTCGGACAACATTTTCATCACAAGACCTTCATCATAAATGTGAACTAAGTAGGAGCTGCCTAGACGGTATTTTTTCGCATAGTACAGAAAGTCAATTGCCTGAAAGCCAACTTCTTCGATCATCAAGATTAAGTCGTAATACGAGACATCACGTCTCATCATGGATCTTTGTAAAATTTTGGCTTCCTAATTTGTATCTTCATAGTGCAGGTATATGGTCAACATGTCCGTCGCCATCCTAAGTTATATATAAAAATGTCAATTAAATCATTACAAGTAAAGACAAATTAACTAATGACTACAGGGACAATTTAATTTGCCAATAGACATGTGAATGGAGAGGGCAGAGAAGTACACAGTAGCACGTCAATGCACTATCAGCTTATCATAACTTAAAACAGAGAGATGAGGTACAAGACCATGGGTCCAGCCACACCCACACTAAGATATAACGCTGTCGACATAAGGATTCAGGACAGGTTTAAGTTGAAAAGTGTACAGGACCTGATGATCTTCACTGCTTCCCTAAACAGAAGGGAAATTGAAAGTACATAGGATCATCAGGTGATGGTGCAAATCTTAAGCATTTTCTCTGTTAGTAATTTCAATCATTTTTTATCCTAATGGTTCAATTTTCGCAGGCGAAACTGTTACAGTAGATCGGCTGCATCGAATCGAAAAGCAGAGTTGGGTTTGATCATGATAGTCTTAGGGAATCAAAGAAAATGACAAAGGAGCCAAATGAGCCCAGATTTGTTTCGTGTGCCCAGATTGCAAACTAGACATGTTAAAAAGCTTGGAGCGGGTGCAGCAAAGCGCGCCGTTTGCTTCTAGTTTCTCAAAAAGTCTGATCAAATTTAAACAATAGTCAATGGATCGATCTAGCAGAAATGTAGAACACGCACGTATATCAATGGATCGACCTGATTAGTGGATTAGGCATTGGCACATCGCAAAACTATAGTCAGACACAACCTATGTGCATATTTTATTTGTCTACGTATGTGATTGCTTAATTATTTGTCTACGTAAGGGCTAATTATGCAATTAGCCGTGGCCATTAGGCATCTACAGTACACACTGTGCTACGAATTGTTGAGGGAGCGAGCGATTGGCAGGGGAACCCTTGCTGGCCTCTCCCCGTCCCCGCCCCTGCATCACTACAGTGGTGTTTCTCCTAGCATACCTCAGAGAATTCGTACCAGCCTGATCAGGGAAAGGGTGGGCGTTCAGATCCATACCAGCCACGAGATCATACCCCTTCAGGATGTAGGTGGCGGAGCTGAAGACCGACGAAGCCGTCGCCGCAACGATCCAAACGGCGCCGGGACAGATCGAGGAAGCGGCGCCGATGCAGGTCGAGGAAGCGGCAGATCCTACGGGGGTTGAGATGGGGGTGGGGAGGGGGGGGGGTTGCAGGTGGTGGCCGCACTGGGCGCTGGCGGTGTGCTGGGCGTTGGAGTGCGGCGAGGTAGCCGCCGAACGGTGGGCGGCTGGGCTGGATGTGGATGGGTTTGAGACCCAATTTATCTACCGTTTTCTAGTTAGTTGGAGGGAAAAATAAGCGCCAAGGTGGAGAACTGGAGGGAAATTTGGATATATTTTTTATCAAAGAGAACTGGAGGGAAATTGTTTTGGAAGAACCGGGACATTGTTACATATATTAATATGTTTGGAATATAAATTTTCCAAAAAATGTTTTTGGCATGGAAAAATAGAGTATATTGTATTTATTATTTTATTGATTGAAGGGAAATTAGATATAGATAAATAGTAATGGCTTTATAAAATTGATTTACGTAACATGTGCTAAATAACCTATAACATGGGTTCTTGCTCTAACAGCGGCGATCAGCTGGCAGATCCTACTCCTGATCGGTCGTCTCGACCAAGATAGTATCATTCCCACACGCCTTCCAATGGAGGCTATGACCGGTGTGGGACAAAACTACGACTAACATCAATGGTAGAAGTTGCGACCCGTCTAGGAACATGTTGTGACCAACGAGGCTGGCAACTTTTGATCGGTGCTGAGAGCACAAGTGGTGGTGCTACAAAGTGGCGACGCTGATATGCGTCAGCTGCCACCGCCCGTCGACGGTGTTGTAACGACATATCCATGGTGATAGAGCATAAGGGGAGGGTATCCCAGCTACACCACGGTTCAAAAAACCAACCATACTTGCAGTCATATCAGAAAAAGGAAACTTGCAACCTCGATGGCTGGTTAAAGAAAAACATTGTAACTCGATCGACCGATATGACTCCTGATCGGTCGCCTCAACCAAGATCACGTCATCCCCATACGACTACCCATGGAAGCTATGACCGGTGTGGGAGAAAGCTAAGGCCGACAATGCTAGAAGTTGCAATCAGCCCGAGAGCATGTTGTAACCCGCGAGGCCGACGACTTTTGACCTGTGTTGAGAGCGCATGGGGTGGTGCTACGAAAGTGGCGACGACGATATGCGTCAGCTATGACCGACCGCCAGCGGTGTTGTAACGACATATCCGAGAGGCTGACAGATCAATCTAGCCTCCTCATTCCTTCCACCTTCATGGCGATAGAGAATAAGGGGAGGGATACCAGCTACACGCACGGTTTAAAAAACCGAGCGAACTTGCAGTTGTACTAGAGAAGGAAACCTGCGACCTTGATGCTAAAATGATCATTGACTATGCTCATGTTGGTAGAGAAGCAAACTTGGTTTGATAGCATCTATAAAGTAAGAGAAAAGTGGGCTGAATGTTATATGAGGGATGCTTTCACCTTAGGGATGCGAAGCACGCAACTAAGCGAGAGCCTAAACAATGACTTGAAACTCCACCTGAAATTAGACCTTAACCTTGTTCGTTTTTTCAAGCATTTTGAAAGGGTTGTGAAAGGGAAACGAGACAATGAGTTGAACTTGGAGTATGAGTCCAGAGAGAAACTACCTAGAATCAAAATAACTACTGGGAGCATTGAGAATGATTTTCATGGTTATGGATGTATTAAGAGTTACACAGAATTATTGATGGTATGCTTCATCCCATTTACCATTGTGCTTAACTTACGGTTTCACCAAATCAATGTTTTTTTCTAATATGAGCAATCCTTTAATGATGCAGGGTTCTAGTGTCGAACAACTGTACATAAATGACATGTTTCTATCAGATCCCTTTTGTCATCAGTAGACTTGAAGATCCATTTTATCACAGGAGGACTTGAAGAGTGGTGAATGCTAAAGATTGGATGGATGCTGCTGGTCATGCATTCATTTTCTTATAATGTTGGTCATGTACTAATTAGTTAAATCTGCCCTAGGGAAAGCATGTGGAAATTCTAGTATTTTAACGTTTGTACTGCTCTTGAATTTGTCAATGCGAGACCAACAGTTGGTTAAGACTATTAAGTGGAATTCACTTGGTTGTAACTGCACAGGTTGATTCTTCAGTTTCGTAGCAGGTTCAGTTCAGAAGAGTGTGATTCTTCAGTTTTGCAGTAGCTTTTTTCTTCAGTTTTGCGGCAGCTTTTTTTTAAGAAAAGTTTTGCGGCAGCTGTGAACGGCTGATTGCATTAGACAACGGCTGGGTAGATGGGCTTTCTTGGGCCATGTCAATGCGTTCGCTAGGCTCGCTGGGGTCATCGTAAGAAGGCACGGTACCTGTGCCGGCAGAGGATCCGG